GGAATGCTAGTTTGTGATTTCCTGCAAGTCGAAAAACACTCTACTGACAACTACACAGCCCTGCAGCAGAACTAGAATCTCTGGATTCACCATATAGATCTGTCACCTCAAGCTGATTTCATGTTCCAGTCAGTCTCTCTGCATAGGCAGCTCTAGCAATTCCTTTCCATCTCCTGCCCAAGTCCCAGTTCTGTTGCCAGCAAGTGAGGTCTACCTACCTTAGACAGCCTACCCTATTCCAGCATCCGAAAAACCAAACAATACCTCAGTCCCCCTGACGATCAACTCCCAACAGTCCCAAACCTTTCATTTTCAGATCCATCTGGCTCAAGAATTTGTTCCAAATTTCTCTCACCTCCTCCCCTTTCATATCTCGCTCTAAGCTAGCCAATCATAACCATCTTTAACTCCCCAGTTACTGCCTGGAGTCTGCTTTAGACCCATTATCTGACAGAATAGCTAAGCAAACTGAGCTGCACCGAAAAAGCAGATCCTCCTTCTCTTACACTTCTGCCTTCCATCTATCACCTATGTTTACTAACCTTACAGAAAGCTATTCAGGTTTCGAGCCAGTTTTTCACTCAGTTTGGCAACCAGAATTAATCTAGTCAGGCAGAAGATCTCACAAGCTCCAAAGGCACTGCAAGGCAAGTAGCCATTAAGGGTAGGAAGCCATTAAATCAACTTGGCACCATCAAACTGGACTGTTACTCCCTAGGGACAGAACACACAAGACCGAATTTTTGTAGGTAATTTTAAGCTAATAAACAGAGTCCCCAGTAAACATGTCTAAACATAACAGAAATGGAAGAGTGCAACGTCAACCAGTTTACCAGCAACCAAATCTCACAGGAATACTGTCCTTCCACAAAGAATCAGACAAAGTGCTAGAACTGCAACGTTCTACAACAGGGGAAAAAAAAACAAACGAAAACCACCCCACAAAAAAACCACCAATCCACACCAAACTCCCAAGGTCCCCAGTATTCTGACCAATCAAAAAAGAAAGTAACACTAAATACACACTCCTATTCTCACAACGCTCCAGCTTTGACAACTGGTTTCATCTACCTAGGCTGGCACAAGCCATTTTCATTCAAAAGGTATAAACAGACAAAGAATTAGAAGAAGTAGACAGGAACTTAGAAGTATTTTATTTTATATTTTAGATTACTACATCTTTACATGAAGTCTAAGCAACAGCTAACAGGACTATTGTTCTCAAACTACTTATCAGTTACTGCACAGTGTAAGAGATCTTTCAGTTTACATTAATTCTTGCTTCACATCTCAGTAGTTTGTTCTGCAAGAGGAGTTTCATACAGGAAATATGAGCCTTTCAGATACAACTGGCGTATATTCAGCTCATAAAATGGAAATAAGTTCTTAAATAGACACAGCTCACAATAAATCTCCTCAACAACTGAGGGACTCTACCACCATCGTTCAAATCACCTTTTAAGTGCAGAAACCAAATAAATGCGGCCATTAGGATTTGTACACTTCATAAAAATTGTTATGTTCCATAGAGCGACTTTATGTGAGCAGATAAAGTACAAACAGGACAGTAACAAACTGACAGATCAACTTACAAAAGTTTAGTGCATGATTTATTTAGAAAAGTAAGTGCAAAAAAGGACAAAATCTAGCTGTAATGAGACATTTCTGGGCTTTCAAATAATCGTATTGTAAATACATAGAACTGCTTGTTTCAGAGTTTAACTCATGCTAAACACAGAGAAGGGAACTACTACCATCCAATAGCCTAATCTGGCAAGAAACTGTGCAAGCGTCATCCCTTTTAGCAGCAGCAAATACGCAAACAATGGTCACGCTAACTTGTTTTTACAGACTCCCAGGAAGGAGAGCTGCAAATACACATTACTGAAATGTGCCATACATGCCACTGTGGTTTTGAAGAGAGCCCACACTGAATCAGCAGTTAATCTATTGCATTATCTTTTTCCCCTCTTCATTCACACATTAGAAAAGGAAACAACTAGAATCAGAGACAAAACAAAAAACAAGATTTTAATTCATACACCATCTGTGAATGTATCTGCAAGAAATATAACAGCAAGGTTCCAACTAATACAAAAATCATGTGTAAAATCAGGCATTAGCTCACTGTAAGTGGTGTCTTAAGACTGCCCTTCACCAAAGGAAGTTTAACTTCATGCTTCAATTTCAAAAAAAATGTAAGGGCTTCACTGATGTAAGATAAGCAATTACAAGTCTTAATTTAACTCTCTCCAGGGAAAAATGTATTTCAATATCATGTTTTTAAAACGCTTATACAACCTGGAAGCCTTAGCTGGCTTCAGATAATCCCACATAAAGAAAGTTGGCCACAGTTTCTTCTCATTTTCCTTTTCTTCCTCCCCGCCCAGCTCCAGAAACAAGTAAGACCAGACCAGTCAGCTCTGGTCTGTCTTGTACATGACAGCTCTCTGTCAACTTGAGCAAAAGAAGGAAACCTCCAGTTTTTAAGAACTGGGGGGTTTTTTTAACCGTTATTCGGAGCTTCACCATTACAAACATAGTCTGCAATATATTAATATTTATCCTTCCCCAAACTTGCTTCCATTACATGAAGTTGAGGAATACAGCCCTAATAAGGATCTAAATTAGAAACAGAAGGGGCAGGCAGGTAGATAGAGGACAAAAAGAAAGAAATACGAGGAGTCTCATTCCTGGTTTCACTGCACAAAAACTGACCATCTCTGTCATATGCAGCAACACATCTCTCAAAAACTACATGTTATTTTCCCAAACACTTCTTGTTTGGAAAAGTTGGTTTTACTATACATACTAGCATGAGAAATGAAGCCTTCCTTCCTCCCACATTAGCTGTAAGAGGCTAACAACATCAGCAGCTCTCTGTTGTCCCAATCTTCAACTTTTAAAAACTGCCTTCTGCTGGAATTATCTTCAGTTTTTAAATGAATACTACGATAAAACTTATCTGAAGACCAGCAAAAAAAGCTTCTACAACCATGTCTACAGAACCAAAATAATATGAATCTATCTCCTAGTCAGGTCTAATCCTAGAGGTCCAAAGGCACTTTGTTTCAGTCACAAACTAAAAGCTGACGAGGAACTCCAGGTAATGCTCAGAATCACATCCCTTCAATTAGTTGCTACTGAAGTTGCTACTGTCTGTGCCTAACATGATCTTTAATCCTATGTCTTGAAAGTTATAGCTACTATTTTTCATCTTGGGAGAACTTCTGGACTCTCAGGGATTACATGGCAGAAACTTACCTAAGCACAAAAGCCAGCACAAGTGTCTACTGTTCTCTTGTCCTACAAGAAATGTCACTGGTGAATGCTTAAAAGCTTTCCTGCTGCATTACACTAAGAGACTGTGAATCTGGACATGAAGTAAAACATGGCTCTGAAACTCAAGCATTATTGCCCGTATTTTAAGAATTATTTTTTCCATGGTTTGTTTTTTCTTTGCCAATACTTTCAGACAGATCAAGATGAGGCAGGGACAGAAATACACACATATGCCCAGTTTTTGTTTGTTTGTTTGTTTTTAAACTCAATCACAGCTCTGTTACTTCCTATCTTCCAGCTTTTTTAAAGCGGTTACTAACAGAATGACTTCTCAGGACCTGGTGACTAAGACATAACAATAAATGCATCACTGACTACTTATGCTTGGAAATTTGGAAAATAAGCAGACTTTTACGGAGTTGAAATTTTCTATTACAGACTCTCGCACGTGTTTTCTGTAAGTTCCTCATGCTTTAGGATCAAAAGTCTCAAGAATGCCCTCACATCCATTCCTATAGTACTATATCCAGTGAGAGACTGATTACTCATACTGTCACATGCACATCCAGAAATATATTTATGTACAATATACTACTTATACAGCCAATTCTTTCGAGGCTATCGGCATGTGTGATAAAATACTACTGAACATTTTTAGTTTAAGGAACTCTACTGCATTTCATAATCTCAGATGAAGACAAAAGTACTGATGTAATACCACAGTGTTTAACGCACAGTCCTCTCTCACATGTCACTGGGTGGGTGAGTACAGCAACCATCAGAGAACCCTGGCTTCCTTCTGATCATTTATCTCCGTCATAAAGAGATTCTAAGAGAGGGCACCATGAGTAACCCACTTCCTACTCAAAACTGCAATCTGCAATAGTAACTTCCTACAGCAACTTTTTATCGTCATAGGAAAAATCCAAACATGTTTTAAAACTAGTAATAAAAAAAATTAACTTAAGGCTAAAGTGTGATACAAAAATAAGCAGCAGGATTCTCAATGAACCAAGCTGCCACCCACTATACAAGTAGAAACACATTCTGAATTACCTTTAATTTACAAATAAACGATGATGTACAGCAAGTATCTGTATCTTACCTGAATTATCAGTCTACAATAGCCACTAAAGCATTACCAGTTTCACTGTCTTAGCTCTATCACAAAGCTGGCTTCCTGCTACATACCAAATAAGTAACAAAAAAGCAAAGACATTTTGCCAGGTCTTGCTCCAACTAAATTACTCATCCTGGTTGAGACAGTCGATTAAGACAGAAAGACTGTAATTTAAACTTTATAATGAAAATTACATTAGCAAAACTGACAGTGTTAATAGTCTCTTCCTGCTCCTTGAAGCTGATCTGAACATGGAGTTACTGAGACAAATGGAAGACCACACACCATTTCCTCTCTTCACAGTTTTGAAATACAATCCATTCTTTTACTAAATTCTCAGAGAAGATTAAAAAACAAACTAACAAACAAAACAACAAACCTCCCTCTGAATGACTATGTAAGTTAATGGACGAAGTTGGAAAGTAAAATTAAAGAATCTTACTACTACCTTTTTCAGTTTTTAAATCTTAATTTTCCCTTAGTCTTTATAACCCCCTTTGTCCATACCCTTTTCTTCACATGGCCTATCCCACAATATGTTAGAAGACAAATACAGAAGGCCTTTATTTCCTTCTGAAGCACTAAAAATAAAACACTGGAGTAAAGCTGGCTTGGTCTCCTGAACCTTACTCATGCTGAGAGCGTAAAGAAGAGTCACAAGAGAACACTGTCAATCTCACTAAGTCTCTGCGAGTCATTGGTTTCCACTGGTCTATTCAAAGAAAGGAAACAGTCTCCCAGAGGCAAGTAACACAGAAGGCTATCAGACACCTTCCAAAGTAAAGGACAACATTAGCTTATAGAGAGACCAGTATCTTCTAGTATGCCCTTATCAGACAAACTTTTTACGAGTGTCACAACATTCTTGTATAGTTGTATTTGCGTTAACTTCTTATCAATTTCTAGCCTCATGTACAGCTTCATAATGAATAAAAAGAATAACCAGTACATGTGGAATTTTGGTCTGCCACGACTGCCATCTGTAAATTGTATATTCAGACTCCCAAAGCCATAATGTAGGATCATTATCAAACACAGCTCAAAAACAGAGTAAAAATACAAGAGTACAGACTGGTTAGTTTCTACCAATGTGACCAAATCTGAGCTTTTTCTTTAATACTGGTGAAATTTGTCTTTTTAAAAATAACATATACCAAAAATATAGTGTTTCTCTGAGGCTCTTTGACATGCTGTAATGTCTTTACAATTTGGAGTAAAAATTAAGTTTGGTAGTTAAAACTCTTGAAGTTGTTGCTAAGAAATACTACTGAAATGTAGCAACATTAGGCTGCTCCAGAACGGCAACTTTTGTACTCTGTTTTACTATAAACATTTCTTATCATGGTTAGCTATGAGAAAATAATTCTGAAGCAAAGCTAAAAGTGTATTTTCAGATACTAAACCAAAATATTACTAATGAAAAAGTTTCACGCCGTTCCAGACACCACCAGCAGCAGCTCATTTTTGTCAGTAACAGCAGTACTGCAAGTTCTGGCTGTCAGCTACAGTGAGCATCCCTGGCTTCCTCATCAATCCCACTGCAACCGGAATTACAAGACACTGAAGTAAGTCCTAAGGCCTAATAAAAGTGAGTGCTTTGGGAGCAGAGATGAGCAGTTGTGAGAAACTTCTGCAGGAGTTCTCTAAACATACACGCATTCCCTCAGCAAAGCAGGCTCCAAGGGAAGTCATATAAAAAGAAAAATGTTATTGATACCAAGATGCACAGACATTCAGTATTGAGAGGCAAATCACATCATGTTCTAACAAACAACTAAATATACAAGGATTAATGTATTTTCTTACTGTACTACTAGTTGCTGGCACACAGATCCATTATCTGTTATCAGTTCATTCAGTTTTAATTCAAGGTGAACTTTTCCCTGAAAAACACAAGAGAGAAATACAGTTTTAAAAGCCTTTATTCTAAAAGTAGTAATTAGAACAATAATATAGTTTACAGCCAGAAGCTATTTAAGGTAATGCCAATATATCCACTTCAGCCAAATACGTTTTATAAAGCACATATCCTGCAAGTAGAATACGACAAATGCATTTGAGCTTAGAGAGACAAATGATAAAGAAAAGCATTATCTTCAACTGCAGGCAGCACATTATTTGTCAAGTTACCATAGATCTAACACAAAAAAATACTTCTTCCAGCATGAGGAAGCACTGAGAGCAAAAGTCCCTCTCAGCTTTTTTGTCCTAAGCACACGATGAACCAACGTACAAACAGTGTTCAGGAGAAAGTTCTAAAATGACCTTGGACTCTGGAGGCAGTCACGTTTACAATAGCAATAACCAGTAACATTTAATATCCAGCTAAGAAATCTTGTCCATCCTGCCAGACTAAAGATCAGCTGCAAATTTATTATGCATCCCAACACCGCTTTCAGCTACCTCATGAAGTCTGCGGATGTACTCATGGAACAGAAAATACAACCAAAGGAGAGGAAAAGGTGCAATAATTGCTAAACTTGGCTTCCTCCTTTTTCTTTGCTGAGATGGTAGGCTGTACTAAGAAAAAGAATCCATAAGTGATGGCACAGTAAATGACCAAAATTTGGTGCTATAACCTTACTCCAAACATCTACTGCTACTCCTTTCAGTGCCTGGCTATTCCAGCTCACTTTCATATCTAAGATAACTAGATGCTGAAACTGTCTTTCCTCTAAACCATATTCTCCTCAGTATTCTTGGAATATGTCCATTTGCTAAACGGAACATCAGATGACACTAGTCTGTCCATTATTATTAGGAAAGGGACCTGGAAGGTAATTTAAAGTTTGGCAAAGGAAGCAGGTTATAACTTGAATTACAGTTCTGCTGTACAACACTAAGATGGAAGTGAAACCTTTAGCTGACCTTGCACACATTTCTGAAGCATTTCTGTTTTGACGTAGAACTGAAATGTTTTTATAGTAAATCTCCCGGAGCAAGGGCTGTGTTTCTCTCTCTGTACGTCACATGGGAGGAGAAGTGAAGTTTCTTTTATAAGGAAGTTTTAAACGTAACTATTTTGGGATGCTTGCCAAGTATTTTGCAAACTGTAACTGCACCCATTGGAACACGGGTACATTAAGAAAATATTTGTCAAGCAGGGAAACTCAATTACAAAAATAGATTTACAGGATAAAAACAGGATACTGAGAAGCATGCCAACAGCCTTACAAGGCAAAATTTTTGAACGACAAATGAAAAGACAACATTAGTAGTATTTAGTGTAACAGCTGACTTAACTAGGCAGACCTTGTGAATGGCCTAACATCTTCCTTTTGCTTTTAAAGAAAACAAACAAAACAAAACCCAACCCAAATCACGTTCTACACAGATCAGTAGGAGTAAAATAGAAAGTTTACTGCTCCTGAGAACTATCTGTAGGTGTAGTTTGTCAAACCTCAGCACCATGATGGCTACAGTAACATGGCTCTAAGTAAATATTTCCCTGACATGTATGGAGAGTTTCAGGTACGTTTTTGTTGTTTTGCTTTTTGAGAGCAGCATAATGATTCCCTAAAGTGGCTGATCTGCAGATCTGTATCAGAACTTTTTGACATAGTGTGCAAACGGGTTTTAAACACGTTTGTAAAGATTGGTTTTAAATCAAAACAAAGAGAAATCAGCCATTCTTATACAATAAATAAGCAGCACACTTTATGTGAACACACTTTTCATCTGCAGATCCCAGGGCTGTCCAAAGGCAAGTAAGTGACAGTTTAACTTTACAAATGGATTAATGATCCATTTTCCGATGCTGGCTAGAGGAAGATGGAGCTGTTATGTTGTCAAGATACACATAGAAACAAAGAGTGTCCAAATCACCAACCTGAATTTCAGACCTAGAAGAACAATTTAAACGGTTTTGTTCTCAAAATTACTACTGCATTTTAACACTGTATTTTAAGAGGCTTTTTCTTTTTTCTGTGGAACCAGAACAGAAGATGCCAGGTCTACGGATTCTGCATCTGTCTTCACGTAAAGCAATCACATGCCCTCCTATATACCCCACAGCTTCATTCTAATATTACGGCTAATAGGTGATTAATCCTGGAAAATAACATGTCTTTTTTTTTTTTTTTGAGAACTCTGCACACATTCACCTCTTGTAAAAGTAGGCAGGATTCTCCCTATCTAGAAGGGCTTCCAAGTTACTAGAAAAATACAAACACTGCCAAGTCCAAGACTGAAAAAAATATTAAAATCTAATAAATTGGTTATCACAGCAACAAGGCTAAGAGATTCTCAAGAACCCTGTTCCGTGTTCCTCCTCAAACCAAAGAGAGAATAGCTCCAACTTCTAGAGCCATCTCATTTTTACATATTACTAGAACAATCTTGTCAGAATAACCTAATCCACAGACCAAAATACAATTCTGAAGTGCAAGTTATTTGATACTGAATGTAGAAGGCATTTCAAAATACGACAAATGAGCACAGCATAAGTACCTCCAGCTTCGGAGACTTTAGCCATTTCATGTCACATCATCAGTCATCATTTCAGAAAACACCAGAACTGAATAAAAAAGTGATAGTTTCCTCATCATTCACCTGTCTCAAGTACATAGCTCCTCTTGCACTGATGATTTTACACACCAAAAGACTGTTAAGACATTTCCCAAACAATTGCTTCACATCTTCTGCAAGTTTTAAGTATCATGAGGAACAACACAGCCAGTTTAGAAATGCATAATATGCATTATTCTCTAATCAAGCTAAATGACACATCTGCCACAGTTCAATATAAGCTTTTAACATTACATGCACTTATCCATATTTAATTTTTAAAATGTAAATGTGCAATTTAATAGTTACCTGAACCTCTGAATTAGAATCAACAGGTTGAAGCATAAACCAGTTCTCTTTTCCGGTGTAGCTGCATAAATCTTCTTTTTTAATTGACACCTTTCCTGGGGGAAGGCGGCAGAAAGAGATGAGCGTAAATATCACTTTCATCCGAATAGGACAAATATTTACATAGATTTAAGTTTGATTTTTGTTTAAACTTTGATTTTTTTTTTTTAAGCTCACAATGCTATATGAAAAGCTTATGGAAACAAGGAACATGAAGCCCAAGTAAAGGACAAAAATAGCTTATATGAAGCCAAATTAAGTCAATTACAATATGTCATTTTGGATATCACTAATAACAAGATTAGGTAAAATAAAGAACACATTTCTGGCTGGAAATAACATAATAAAGTTTCAAGAAAACAGTAACGGTGTTGTAATATGACTAAATAGGAAACTGAAGGTAGATACCTTTTACTCTTCTGACTGCTATTTGGAAATCTGTTATTATACCAAATTATCTAGCATCCTGGTGCAAACTATTTCCTTCCTCAGTTCAAGTAATGTGAAGCCTTCTTCCACAGAACATTATAGCAACTATATCCAAATACCAGCTGCAATAGAGCCATTATGCAGTGGAAAAAAAATCCACCTCCTGTAATTTTTCACTTAAGCTACATAAAGCATTTTGCAGCAGTTTATAAGTCACTAAGTTACAGGTTGCGCTGCCAGAGAAAAAAATCATCTATAAATAGTTTTAAGAATTAACCCACAGTAGCAATTATTGTCAAACTGTTCCACAATTCATTCTTTAAATACCTACAAGTAGTGACAATTATTCAAATATTCCAGTGAAACAGAAGTGGGAAAAAAACAAATAATTTTTAAAAAATGTACCAATACTACAATTATAAGACCATAAAATGTCCTATTAGCCTAAAAATAAACATATTTTAATATAATAGAATAAAGCAAGGAAACAAAAACCTGCTTTTCGTAAAGGAACATTTAGTTTAAGCATACTACACTGTGTTTTGAAAAATGCATCGCTTCAGTAATTGCATCCTTAATACTACAGATAATGATACTGAAAATAACAAAATGCTATGCAAAGACATAGATGGTATCCCAGAACTCACCTATACGCAGGTCTTTTTGTAAAACACTTTTATCATAAATGTAGAAGGACAACCACTGGAAGGTTCTTGGAATCTCAAAGTAAAACTCTTCCCCAAAGTAAGGGCTGAAAAGAAAGACTGAAAGTTAAAATAGAAAAACACTATGTAATTTATACAGAAGACAAACACTAAAATGCTACATTTTTACTGCCAGCACAAATCTTGGCCTCCAGCACTATACCTATCTATCAAAGCCATCCACAACAATTTCATTACAAGGACAAACAATAACACGGCAAGTTAAAACTGCATTAAAATGTCTTTGTATGTTCAAAAAACCCCCCCAAAATTCAGAGCACACACAGAGAAAGTGTTGTCTCCTCAGCAACTTCGTTTTTCTGTCCTGAAATTATTCCAGTTGGTTCTCTACCCACCACAAATTACTTCCTGAGACACTCACAAGTTTCATTATTAAATTACATTAAAATACAATTTATGAATTATTTTCACTAACTGACATTTGTTTAGCTCTAACTTCTGTGCCAAATTTGATGCCCAAAGATTCAGAACTGTAAAATTAAGCCATAAACGTCAGCAACCATAAAACAGAACAGTAAAGAGAATTATAATCTAAAATACACGTTTTCCTGCATGCTGAAATGCACACCACTTTTCTCCATCTAACGAAGTCCAACACAACGTTTGCGGCTCATCCTACTTAACTGCCCTTTGCAGAGCCCTCTACACAAAAAGGCTCTGGGTTCCTCTATTTAGAGCCATTTCACATAGAGCATTGGTATTCTCACTCATGGAATACATACTTCCATTAAACATAAAGAGTACTTATTGATGGAATCATAGCCAGCAGTCAGAAGGTTGTATTTTAAAAGACTGAAAAAAACACCAATGTTAATGTCACTGTAAGTTGTAAATTCTGAAAATCAAGTGCAATCGGGAAAAAAAATCTCTGCTATTTTGGAACTACGGGATTCTTAGACTTAAAATACTTTCAATTACAATATAATAACATCAACAGGGAAAGGTGTGCAGATTCATGAAAATAATTTTAGCCTCTGCTTTCTTTCCGCAGAAAAGTATTGTGATGACAGTCATATCAAACCCAGAAACAAATGAGAGGAGGGGATCTTTTTGTTTCCTAGTAAAGTACCTTCTCAGTAAAATACTTTATTAAACCAATACAAATATGCTTAAGTTTGGAACAATCAGTTCATAGTATTACCTACCCAAAAGGATACCAGGAAGAACAGGACATCATCCCTACTCTCTTCTCTACAAAATAATTACAGGAAAAAAACCACCAAAAGATTAAGGACCAATGGGTCATTAAATAAGTTAACAATAAGAATGGATAACCAACCGAAAAAGTGGGAAAATGCACAGGTGAAAAATCTGGCATTTCAAATTTCTAGAACTGATTTTCAGAAACAAGAGCTTTAGCTGCAGGAATTCATAATGAGGAATTTCACAATTGAAAAAGTTCCTTTTGTTCAAACGCAGACCTTTCACCATGGGCTTCAAAGCAGAGAAAACAGTATTAGCCTTTGCATTACACTGAAAAATAATTAAGAATTCTCAGTTGAAAAATTTGCTTGTGGTTTTTCAGCTTCTCACCAAAAAAGGTGAAACAAAGGTTTATTTTAAACTTGAGTCAATTCTGTGACATGACTCCCCTAATAGCTACGCAAATAGCTCCACCAGTACAAAGAAAGAGATACTGCAGCAGCTGGAGTGAAGAGTGGGTGAACTGGCTGGCATTCAGACATTCTAAGAGGAACACTAGACTACCATGTACACCAGCAACTGTGTATCACTACGTGTCAAACCCCCAGTCTTGCTGGATCTATATAACTCCATGCATCCAACTATAATCAGATACTTAGTCTGGGATGGAGACTATAAGCAGTGACTTCCAAAAACCTATTAAGCAGCCACACCCTATAAATTTCACAGCTATATCCCCCCTTCCAAAGAATGATCAGCCACTAACAAACATTATTTTAACCTGAACATTACATGAAGTCTCAGATTTGGCAAGGAAGAGCAGGTCAATGGCATGAGCACAAATAGAAGGCAACATGTTATTCTATTCACATCGATACATTTTTCCCTTACCTAGATTAACACCTTTTCCATATGAATCAGTTGTTGATTATTCTTTAGCAAGTATGAGGCACAGAGAGAAAATTTAAGGTGAAGAACACAAAGGATTAGTAAAGAAATTCTTAGGTGGATACAGAACTGGCTGAAGGGGTACAATAGGTTATACCAATGAGCAATAATTACAATGGAGAACTTACTCAACCCGTTCCTCGAGGATTCAGTCAGTTTAGTGACTTTGAGGCAAGAACTTTAAAGACTGTGATGGATACAAAATTAGAAGATAGTGCTAATGCAAAGGAAGACCAGACTGTCGCGCAGGAAGAACAGGATTACAGTAATACAGGAGGTGAAATTTAAATGTGTGACATATTCCTCTGCACCTCCCTTCCTTGTGACATTAAACTGGCAGTTCTATGATGGTAACTGAACAACGTCCCTCGATCTGTCATCTGATAAAAGCAACTGTTACATCAACAAGATAATTACTTTTTGCTATAACATTGCATTCATCCAAAGTTCAGTTTGGAAAAAAGAAACTGAGTTTAGTTTAAATTTAAAAACACAACACACACATACCACAATCCTCCCCATCCATGTATCTGACCATAGATATTTGAGGAGCCTCACAGATGTTCTTTAAACTTTCCAAGGGGAAAAAAATATACATATATTCTCTCTTCAGAACTCAAAGAAATCCCACATTGTGTCAGGAAATACTTATTGAGTCATTAGCCAAAATATCCTTCCTTCACTTCAGTATTAACTCATGTTTTTCTAACTTTGAATAGTCATTTGCTTCACATCTGCAATCTAACAATAGACCCAGTGCTGGTGGAAGCCCAAACGTATTTGTACATTTTAAAAATACATTTCTTCATTAGTTTTCAGTCACTGCAGTCAAAGATAACTTTAGTTTCAGTGCTAATTACTTCCACAGACATTTAACTAGCGGATATTCGTAGAATAAATTTAGATTATAGCTAGTATAAATTTGCAACCCAGAACACAGGGACAAAAACAGACTGTGAATAACTTGTGTAAGTAAAAGCAAGCAAATAATATAAAACAAACCAATTAAATTCAAAGTTGTACTTATGACTAAAATTACACCAAACACCATCTTACTGAAAAGCAGTTTACAAAGTTCTTAGACAATTAAGAGATCAGAGCTTTCATCTTCCCTTCCAGTACCTCTAAGTGTACAGTAGTCTAGCTTAACAGAGTAACAAGATGGTATAATTAACTTTCTGGAGTAAGTGTCAGTCTTCATAACTGCATACAAACTAGTAATCAAGTGTAAGCATCCAACTCTGGTCGTTGCTAATAAAGGATGACCTATTTTATTACACTTCATCAGTTTGTATGCAAACCTACTCATGCTGTGAATCTAACTTAAGGCAGCCATAAATTCAGAGGATGAAGGAGCTCCCTGTATCATCAGTGGAGACAGAAAGGCATCTATGCGCAAAGAGTAATTCAGAACATTGACTCCTAACTCCTAGTAATGTTCTCAACTTAGAAATATTAGTTTTAACTTAAAGTATTTTGAGATATAAGAGCACCTATACTGCTGCAGCTATATTACCACTTAGACATCACACAGCACACAAAACTCTTATACATGGAAAATTTCCAGTTCCTTCATTCTAGAAACAGGTTTTACAAGACAGACACTAAAAGCAGAATTCCACCAACACAGACCAACTGCATATCAGCAGCAGGAAACAACATGGAGAGCAAGTATCAAGCAGATTTCTTTCCCTTGAAAACAACCTGGTGAGAAAAAGAATGTTATGCTGCTCAGCAGAGCAGGATAAAGTAATAGCAAAATGTTTTACCATGCTTCATTTTGAAAGCAGTGTACTACTTACAAGCCTGAAATTCGTCTTCTTTGAACTACTCTCACGATTACACATTGCTGTGACACTTCTGCATAGCTGCCGTAAGTCAGCTCTCATTTTAAAGAGGTATAAGGAAAAGCACATGCACATTGATACATTATCTTATTTTTATTCTGAACTGAGGCAGTCTTGCTTAACTCCATTTAAAAAAATAAAGCTTACCTTAAAGATTTTTCAACTACCTGTGTACGAAAAACTTCTTCTTGGTCCAAGTTTATGGTACAGAAAAAGTCTCTCATTTTGTTGGGTACTAAGTGTTTGGCATCATCTGTAAATAAAAAAATGACTGTAAATATTGGGGGGCGAAAACCCACAAAATATTAGGCACAATAATTTTACAATTTCAATGAATGTCCAAAATTTATTTTTCCATCCAGTTACGGTGCATTTTCATATTCCTTTTCAATTTGTAAGATCCAACAACATACAGAAATTGCTACATCCAGCTTCACGGGGAACGAGAGTCGACTGGAAGTCAATACTGACTCATGACCACCACTTCCTGCAGCACCTGCACTTTCCCTTGAGACGTCTCATCTCAGGCTTGACCCTGTGTAGCTTGCTAAATCCAAGAAGCTTGTAGCCTGAGGTGATATGGCATTAGGTCATAAGACCAAGACATGATATGGCTGAGCTATTGTTCACTTGGTATTTTCTCTGCAAATATTTTGGCTAAAGGAAGCTAATTAATAAGAACTTGCCATCAGATCATTTTCAACAATGAACAGCTGATTTTAAATTGACTGATCTATCCTTAGAGGTTCAGCTATGAGTACTGTTCATTTTTTTTCAGAACTGTCTGGTCTAGTAGAAGGGGGAAAATCACCTACTGACTAAATGCAACATGCATAAGAACAAGTAGAAAAGGAGGGTTCTAACGAGACAGGATGATCATCAACACAGAAATACAAAGATTTGCCGAGTATTGAGTCTAGGCCACTGCAATAACACATGCTGGATAACAGGCAGCCCTTTACAGAAATAGTTAGTTCAAAGTAGCTACAGCTCAACCCAGGGCTCAAACTGGAAAGCTCTTTCAAAATCTGAATGTCACAGACATGTACATATAGCTAGGGCAACACCATCCTTTAGCTTAAACAGTTATTTCCCCCGGATGTTTCCTTCCCCTCTTAATGTCTTTGAGGTCAGCAAACAGACCCTTTTCACCTTTTATTCTTCTGGAAGAGTCAAGACAAGCTTTTCTGGTACTCCCTCACATGAGGGGCTCCTAACCAGTGAGTAGTCACTCTCTGACCATGTTCCACCTTCACTGCTATCTTAGACAGAGGCAGCCAGCATTGTATTCTGCATTAGGTCTTAACCAGGACCTTTTACAGTAGTGTTCATCCTTGCCTGCTACTAAAAATACCTCTCTCAATGAAGCGTGGAATTAACATCATCTGAACTTTATAAAAGGTATTAAAAAGTAATATGGTAAAAAGTACATCAAAGTATTGACTTATAGTTACTTATGTCTGAATAACGTATCATTTCCATTTTCAAAGACCACAGCTTGTAACTTTTTTAAAAACTGCAGATAAGAAGTACAGTGGAGTAAATTTTATTGCCTATGCTGCTAAAATGTAAAATCACAATTTTGTTTTCTCGCTCCTGCCTTCCCCCTTTTTTTGTTAAATAGATTATTAGTCTTGAAAGTGAAGTAAGTAATGCCTGGCATTGGAGAGGGTACCACAACTGTCTCTGAGCAGAGAACATGACACTTAAGTGACTTCCAGAGTTAAAGCTTGCACTCTCAGAAGCATCAATGAGCTTCTTATCGACTTGGGTGTGTGAGAGGAGGAAGTATACATATTATTTTTAAACATCACACATTAACAGAACTGGGTTTTAATGTCATTAGACTCCAAAAAGAGACTAAATTCCTCAAGTAAGATGTTGCAGAAGAACCAAGAAAAGCATCAAAAATTAAACATTGCCTTAAAAAAAAAAGCTATTTTAGTAAAACATGTGTGTCGGGTGTTCCTGATAAGAATCTTTATTTATTATTTTGTAGTCCGTAGCTTCATCATCCTGTTTGTACATAAAATACTAAAGATATGACATTAATTAGCACTGTAGAGGCACTGTACAGCGGGCTTTGAAAGAAAATGACAATAATTACAGTTTCATGTATTCTTAAAAGCATAAAAATTATGTATTTCTACATAATTCAAAATTTTTATGTCCACGACACTGCAGCCATTCACTATTACAAGAAACTTCCTACCCAAGGGAATAGAATAAACACAAATTTTTATTTTCTAATGAGATAAAACCTTTCTTTCGTAGCCCAAGTGTTGAGCTTTGAGACACAGACAAATTTATTGAGGTTTTTCAGAGGCAGGGGGGATGATTCTCAGTTCTGAGTTAAAAATAACCTCAGAGCACTTGTCAGAGCAGATTTCACATCTTTCTAAACACCTCTTAATATTCATGATTGTGGGAGGCTTTTCAGCCATGTAGTGGTCCAGCTTATTTTAAAAAACAAAGACACACACACTAAGGCTACAATAGTCGCATAAAAATCAAGTATAACACCACTAGATATCCGCTTGAATGTTCAGATTCAGTGTACTCATCAAGTATCTAATTCTGAATTCTGAAAACCACATGTTTTTACTCTTCAAGGAACACAAAGGAAAAAAGGTAAGGAGAGAGAGAAGTATATTGAGGAAATGTACACCAGTGTTTTCTAAGGGTTTGCTTAGAAAGTGTAGGTAGTATGAATGGTTAGTCAGAAACACCAATTACAATTGTTTTGGGGAGAAGAGAGAAATTAAAACTATTTTAGATCTAACTGTGGAACTCTATATTTCAAGCCTCTTCACAGAGGCTGTCATCTAAAATTACACAGTGTGCTACTTAAACTAGCAGTTCAAATGATGAAACATGCAAGTAATGCAACAGCAGTAGCAGCAGCAGACTTACTTATTTTGAACTGATCATACCAATTCACCAGTTTCAGTCACCGGACTAACTTACACCAGAAATTATTTTCACATGACACGTTCTGTAGCCTACTTCAGTAGGAAAACCATTAAATGCATCACTAAAATAAACATCAACTTCCTATTTGAAAAGATAGAATTTTACAATTCCTATTAGTTACCTGACTTTTAAACCAACTTTCTTTATCGCCTCTCAGCTACTCTGGGAAAACAACAAAAAACAGTAATAGCAATTTTTTAAAAAAACTAAATCCAAACATGAAACCAACAACCTACACTGTGCCCAATTACACATATTGGTTTGGTTTTTGAACTATTTAGAAAATATTGTTTAGGTTCTCTGTATTTTACTTTAACTAGTAAAAGCCCACTTCAAAAATAAGATTTATCAAATCTAAATGAAAAGCTGCAATTATAATAAAAACTCAAGCGTCAGAGCAAGAGGAATTCAGGTGTACAAAGTTTAATATATTCAAACTCTCCACGTTAAAGTACTGTTATGAGTCAGTAATAACATCAATGGAGAAATCTAACAAATCCAACAGTTCTGTCAAACTCCCTTGCCTGTGCATCATTTGTTCAACGTAGACACTACAGGCAAACACAAAGTTAAAGCTTGTTCACTGTTAACAGTGCATCAGAAACTAAGCAAAAGCAAGAGGTGGAAGAGATATACGCTATTCACAATATCCTCTGGCGAGTGAAAACACGCAATTAGTGTACATCCTCTGACAGCGACCCAGAACAAAGACGTTTGGAAGACATTTACGCACACAGACTCCAACGTGTTTGCTTCACAAGACTAAGCATATTAAATAGCAATAATTAAATCCACTCCAGGAGCGCAGCATGATTTAAGATAATGACGCAGCGTTAACAACTCTGTGCAAGAAGTCTGAGAAAGACTGAATTTTGTCAAATGAGCTCTGGGAGACAGACGTTTTCCAAGTGCTCCACTAGGACAGTTTTCAGTAAACACACCAAAATCAAAGCAACTAAAACCACTTACCACCTAAAAATGTACCGCTGTATGTCATAAAATGAAAACAGAAGCTAGTTATACAGCTTAAAACACTACACTGTGAGATATATCTAAAACTATATGATATCTACGTACCTTTGTGAGTGCTTTTGTCATTTCTAAGACACATAAAATAGAGCCACCAATAAAAAAGATTAATCATAAAGAAAAGACAGACCCTTCAGTGAATTTTTGGTGGAAACCAGCTGAAGCTTAATATTACATTTTCAAAAAAGGGGGTCTTAAACTGGTAAGACCAGTTTACCTTGCCTTACCTTGAAAACAGGAGGCAGGAGACTGGGTGCAAACACTGGCATCCCATGAAACAGAGAGAGTTCCAGGGACTGCAAATGTGTTCCTGCTGTTTTTCACTGCTAGGTATGCAATAGCTACTTAAGCTACCTTTAAGTATATGCCTCAATTCTACATCTGTTGTGATGATTTGTATAACATCACTAACTTTAGATTTTACCATCTATTTGCGTATTGTAAAACAACAGTATAAATAAGGAGTTACTGCAGATGGGTGTTTTCTATACATGCAGAATGACATAGAACTGACATTACCTCATTAAAACTACCACGCTTTCTCATGTAACACATAAAATGAGTCAGTGCCAAGTCTCGTAGTAGTTCAAATGTCAAGAACATTTAGGCACCAGAATATATTCCACATCTAAGAAACATGCTACAAGGAATTCTTTCAGACTATAAACATCAATTTTCCAAAGTGAGGTCCTACTACTGCTAATCCTTCCAGATCAAGGGAGATTACATTATTAAATTTATTATGTTCATTCAGAGGGTTCTCCCTTAAAAAATACATCAATAAAATACTAGCAAGAAGTGAGAATAAAACAGTATTTGCTGTGCAAAGCAGCCAAGAGTGCATCTAGGGATTAGAGGGTTCGAAAGCTTCCAGAGCATATTTAACTCATCTTTTCTTTTTAAAACAGTGTTTCTGTTTTGTTAGAAGAAACAAGCTGGTTTACAAAGTGTTTTCCACATTGTTTCAAAACACATCTTTTATTGCAGCTATTACTTCCACTCGTTTTCCAAATGGGCTCCTACAGTTCTTATGGGTCCATCTCTGGCAAATAACAGTATTCCTTTCCAAAAGCAAGCTGACACGTATTATTTCTGCGATAACTGCTCATACCATAAGATCTCAGTGAGCGTGTGTTCCACCTTGTCAGGCAATCACTCCCTATCGCTAATGCTGGCGCAAGAGCACCTCCAGCCACACTTCATGCAGTCTCCTACTTTCATGACCTCGTCTTCTATTTACTGAAG